TTCTTCTTCTCTCTCTCTCTCTCTCTCCCTCTCTCTCCCTGTGAGTGTGTGTGCGTGTGTGTGCGTGTGTGTGCATGCACACACATGCAGGCATGTGTATGATTTCTAAATATCATTTTATCCCAGGCATACTGGCATATTTTAAAGCATGCCAGTTATTCTAGTAACATAGATAGTGATATAGCACCAGATTTTTGTAAATAAACTTTTATTTTTTAATATTTATTTTTTAGTTGATGCAGACGGTTAATTGTTTGGCCACRCTGGGAAATTCTCAGGGAATTGCAAAATAAAACACAGACACACAATTTTATCTTTAAACCAGCTTCTGGACAGCTCCTCGAGCTCTCTGCCTCAAGCTCCCCAAGGGGGAAGCAAGGTTCTACCAGAGAGGTTAGTGAGAGAGAGCGAGCACGCTTGGGAGTGGGCTTTTATTGGGGAACTCTAAATTCTGGGGAAAATCCCGTCCAATGAAGGTCAAAGGGGGCAGTGTTGCAAGGTCAGGTGAGGTAATTGGGTCCCTGGGGTAGTGGAGAGACACACTTCTACACAGAAACCATTCTCGAACCCAAGAAGGGTAGGGAAGTCCTGCTGCATCTGCTACTGGACACCTCAAAACACCCAGCCGGGGAGTAACTCAGTCACGTGTGAGGTTGGTCTCCCACACAATATCTTTTTATTTTAGAGAGAGAGAGAATTTCAATGTTTATTTTTCAGTTTTTGGCGGACACAACATCTTTGTTTGTATGTGGTGCTGGGGATCGAACCCGGGCCGCACGCATGCCAGGCGAGCGCGATACCACTTGAGCCAGATCCCCAGCCCCCCCACACAATATCTTTAATTAATTAATTTATTTTTATGTGGTGCTGAGGATCGGACCCAGGGCCTCGCCCCTGCTAGGCAAGCACTCTACTGCTGAGCCACAACCTCAGCCCATGTAAGTAAACTTTTAATCATTAACTTCTACAAAGTATACTTCTTATCCATCTTCCTCCTGGACGCAAAAAAGATGAATGATCTATTTAATAAGTAAATGTGTAGCTTGAATGCTTCATTGGAAATATTATATTGCGGTAAGCTGAACTGAGCCTTGATGAGATGAATAACTTGCAGACTTCTAAAGGCTAAAAAATTATTTTAGAGAAAATTTGGTGAAACCTTTTCTCCTTTCCAAGTGACCTTATTTCTTTCTATCCCTCTCTTATATGTTCAATCTCTGTCTCTCTCCACTGCCCCCTTCACCTCAGCATGCAAATATGCCCAGGATCCCTCTGATTTTTTAAAGCATCTTCAGTGAATTCACGTTTCTTCCTTTATGAATATTATTCTGTAATCCTTTTCCTTGCATTGCCATGCTTCAGCAAATGCTACAAAGAAAACCTTGGGCTTGAAATTCAGCACAGGATCTCTTTGAAGCTACTAATGTTTACAAAACAACCACAATTGTTCTGGGAATATGAAGAGAATTCAGATACGAAGCTTATGGCTTGACAAATGCTGTGATAGAAGTATAACAAATGATAGTATGACAAATGCTGTGATAGAAGTATAAACAATATATTAAGAGAACAAGAAAGGTTTGTTACTCTCAAATTTAGGGGTCCCAGAAGAGGAGTTTCCTGAAATGACTTAAATGATAAAAATAAGAAATAGCCAGCTGCAGAAGAGGAATACGAACCAGTTTAAGATAACCAATGAGTTTATTATAGCTGGATTGGGGAATGATATGACATAAGCCTGGAAAGACAGAATGGAGCTGTTATGTACCATGATGGGCTTTGAACT